ATGACACTGAGGTTTAGAGTGATCAATCAGCTACTTTGGTTTCCTGTACCTGACACTTACTACTTAGGACATCAACGGTGTCATGCAGTGACACACGTCGAGGTGTACACTTGCCAAAAGAAACCAGGGAACATGTGATCTGCTGAGATCACATTACTGAAATCAGCTGACTAAACACTGATGTCTATCACAGCAATCCAAATTACATGGCAAAAGAGGATTTCAAGATGCTGTGGTTGTGGCTGTAATTGCATCTGAGATGATACGTGGGCGAGGAGGATTCATCTACCAGTGACTAAGCCTCTGCTGGTAATTCATGATCTGTGTATCAGATTTACAGCACACTGGGGCTTGGTGTGAAAGGGGACCTGTAGGCTAAAGCAATCTTGTGAAGGTGTGAAAAACATGAAGTCTAATTATGGCGGCTGTGATGAGCAGTGAGATAACAGAACAATGAGCAGCATATTCGTCGTCTAAATCGCTAATAAGGGTTTGCACGGGGTACTTGTGGCACTGGAGAGGGGAGGACACAAACCAAGAGATGGCCAGGTGGGACATTCAGGGCAAGAAGTGAATCGGTGGAGCTTGGGTGTGTGCTTGGCACAGAGGTGACTCGTTAGCTGCCTAGAGAGTGAATTATAGGTGTGTGACAGAAAACAATGCACAGAATCAACAGATGAGGTTGTATACATCAAGGAAGAGTAGCACAGATTCTTCGTCATAATTTTTAGGTTTGCTGCTTTTTTCCTGCACGCTGTCTGAGCCCCTGCATGAGGCTCCTTATTTACTTGGTGGCTCCATGTAAAGTAACCCGTGTCCGTGTGACAAATCCTCTACAGATGTGTGGTTGGGTTAGGCTGAGAGAGCCTGGTCTTTCGGAGAGAGGGGATAAGAAACACCCTCTGGAGCCGGCAGCAGAAGAGCAAAGGAGTGAGAAAAGTTGGTCTGGTGCTTGGTAGGACTGGAAAGACAAGAGACATTTCTGAGGGCATGAAGGACATTGTGTGGGGGAATGCTTCTATCATCAAAGGGTATTGAGAAATCTGGCTACATTGGTGCACACGCGCAGCTGGCTGTATCTGCTTTGGCACTCACATGTGTGTTGTGCTCCGGGGCACACACTCAGAGAGGCATGTGCTTAGCCCTTTGCACGGGTTCAGAAACGCAGAAACTCAGAAAGAGCTCTTAAAATATATCGCTGGGGGAGAGGAGCTGAGACCGCCAGCACAAAGAAGCTGTGAAGTTTTCTCGTGGTTTTAACCGGATTGACCAATCAGAACGACAGATGGCTCCCCCCTCTAAGGAGAGAGGAGAGGAAGAGATAAAAGAGATTTATGAGTTTAGAAAAACACTAAACTACTTTAATGAAAATATTAATAAATAGTGAAATAATGAGAAGAAGAAAAAAAAAATCTAAAAAGTATACAGTGTATACAAAACCATATCAAGTTCCCAGGATGATGATCATGTCACCAGCAGGCACAGGGAAAGTCCCAGGCTGGACTTGGTGATGGACAGGAGCTGGATTCCCGATCTGGAGTCAGGAACGCTCGGATCGGGATCAAAGGCAGACGGACAGACAGGGTCCTCCTTGGACGTCGGCCACTGAAGGAAGAGAGTTGACCCTTTGACCCCTAAGCTTTTATACTGAGCATGATGCAGATGGGATGGAATACCCTGTTGGTCAGTTTGGGGTCACCTCTCCTGTCCGCTCCTCCCCACAGGTGGGACCCCTCTACACTTTTCCGCTTCTGACCCTCCAATGGGGCAAATAACAAATTTACCTGACTTTGGTTGTTAAAGCAATAAGTATAAGCAAGGGCCTCTCCGCACACCATTCCTTGCTATAATCAGGTCTTATCACCATGACAGTTAAGTTTCTGAACAATATACTGTTAATTTCACAGTTTAGTTAGTTAAAAAGGTAAAATTACTGAACAGAAAATTAGTTCTGTTTTACCTTAAACGAGGACAAGTTTAAATCTTGCTTAAAAGCCTCTGCAGTCACCTGAAAAACCTCACTGGAAGGCTTTCAAGGGAAAAGCAGATTTGAGTTGTCTTTAGAGCTCCTGAAGTACTTAAGGCTGTAGCTGTGTTGGGAGGTAATGCTCTTCAGAGGGAACAGACCTGTAGCACGATGAAGAAGGAGCTGATGTCCACACTGTGCATTTGCGGGGGTTACTTCAGTCAAGTAAATTCCATGTGGTCCATCAGCCTGAGCACTGAGCAGTAGCTGCATGGCATGGAGTGGATGAAGGTCACCACCTTCAGTGCAAGCATCAGCTGAAGTGAAGGCTCATTCCACTGTGGTTTCTCCATCACGTGGGGGCCAACTGCAGATTAAAAACTAAAAAGCTGACGTCCACTGTGGCTTCTCCATCATGTGGGGGGACAACTGCAGATTAAAAACTAAAAAGCTGACGTGGGCATACACTGGAAGTGTTGCTTCTGGTGCTGCCCAAATCGCTTGCACCCACCATGTGGCTCTGCACCCAGTGTCCCAGAGACTGCCAGGACGCTGGCCCATCTCTCACCTCACCTGCAAGGACCCACCTCCAAAACTCTCTCCTAGCATGTTGGAAAGGTTGGCAAAATGACTGTGAGAAGGGGGAAATGAGGATTCAGCTGAAGTGTCTTCTCTTCTGCTTCTCTTTCCTCTAGAAAGCAGGAGATGGGTGGGAAGGATGTCAGCCTCCGTGTCCTCCTGCTCAAAGAGAAGCTGAACCCCCATTTATCACCTTCTTGATAGATGCTGAGACCATCAAAAGTTGGAGGATACTCTGAGGTGAAGCTCAGTTGATGCGTATTACTTTGAACCAATGAATATTTCATTACTGGAGAGAGAGAAAATATGAATCAATAATTCAGGAGTAAGGAAAGGGGAAGGGCTGGGTTTGAACCACTGCTGGAAGATGCATTTCACTTTTCAAAACACTTAAACTCTGTGGTTTCTTCAAAGACCACCTTAATTATATACACCTACAATCTTAATTATATACACCTACAATCTTAAAGCCACTGTACTCATCAAAGGAACAATCATCCCTTGCCCCATTACTCTGATCAATAAGTAACATTTAACACAAGGTTTCAAACCACAAGCTTTCTACTGGAGGTCATCTCTGATCCAACCTCCCTCTGGAGGCAGAGGAAGACAAAAGAGAAAAAGGAGAAACACCAGGAGAGGAAAGAACAAACCAGAATTAATGGAACAATGAAGCCAGGAGGAGCAAGGCAATGTAGTTGTGTGCTACAGCAATCATATTTCTGTTCTAATTTCATTTCGAACTAAGACTTGAAGAAAAAGAAGAGATAAGAGGATTACTGATACAGGAAAAATAATCCCAGTTTTCCAGTGAAGAAAAATAGGTTGCTTCGAAAGCATTAAGCTGAGATCTCAATTTCCAGCTAGACGTATCTGGGATTTCTGGAATTTCAAAAGGCTCGAAATACCTTGTTTCCAAAAGCATACATTTCAAACCAAAAAAATCTTCTGATATGGAGGTTAGAATGTCTTTATCACAGTCAATTTTAGAGGTGGTTTTTGAATGTGTAGAATGGCGGTATCAAAATGCAACATTTTACCTCACCACTCTAATTTTGTTTTTAAGTAAGGATGAAAGCTATTTCTTTGTAATACTTGGTTTTGTCCTGATAAATTGTACATAATGTTTTCCCAACCTGCTCTCTCCCTTTGTGGTAAACTGTCCAAGAAGAGCAGCGTGCTGTGTTACTTGAAGTGGCAAAACACTGGATTGAGACACGTTTTCTTCCACGGACGGCACTTAAATCATATATCCTGTCCTATAGGGAGAGAGCATCTATCTTGGGTTTAAAGACAAAACTTAATATTGCCTATATGTAGAACAGCAGTACCCGCTTTTGCAATTCCTGAGTAAAACTTGCATCCCTGTGAATGTTCAATACAATACAGAATGTTCAATACAATAAGAAGCAGAACAAAGGCTGGAATATCTCCTCAGATTTTCTCAAATAAAAAAAAAAAAAGGAAAAAAAAGAAAGATGGCCTGAGGTGTATTAATTTTGGTGAATGCAGACTACAGGAGAAGTACAGACATAAGTAGGCTAACTTTAAGCCGACAGAGCCGGGTTAGTCATTAAATAATTAAGTTTGCAAATAAAATCCTGATAAAATTTTCACTAACTTCAGCAGCATTTGGATTTCACCCCAGGTGCTTTCACAGGAGACATACTTCTCTTTACAGTGAAATAAAAGGCAGAAAGGCATTAAACGGTTCAATATTTGACACAGCTGGGATCGAGACGATGCACTTAGAGACTCGCCTACAGCTACATCTCCAATCCTGTATTTTATCCACTCCTCATGGAAAACCTGGGGGCCCTGAGCAGCTGGCGGTGAGCCCGGCAGGCTGCAGCATCAGGGCCACCCAGCAGCCCCCCTTACACATCTCATGGATTTAGATTTATGTGGGAGAAGCACCCAGAAGTGATTTTTTTTTTTATGCACCTCACAAAAAAGCGAATTGTTGTTTGAGGAGGCATTGATCTAATTTAAGGCATCTTCAGTGTAGGTGCGGGTGTAGACCAGGACCTGCATCCAGCCTAGGGCTGACGTGACCATCTCAGCTGGTCACCTCACATCCCTTAATTAGCAACAGAGAGAAAAAGGCACTTTTAAGGATGCAGATCACCCTCCCTGTTTGCAATGCCAGCCAGGTTGGACCCCAGCCCAGAGGGCAGTGGCAAGTTGTGTTCATGAGAAATCGGAGGTGGGCTTTGATGCTTAGAGGAATCCCACCTTGTCTGTCTGAACAGCTTGGTTTTAAATTAAAAGAAAATAAAACCACCGAACTTTAAGTGTTTTCTGAGGTCCTCCCAGCTCATCTAGGATTCTTGATGGACCATCACGGCACGGCTAGGGGAGCTGGCACATGAGGAGGGTCATACCTGCCCCTGTAGCTCACCTGCAGTCCGTGTGTTGCTCCTTTTAATGCTTCTTCAGTTCATCTTCTTTGCAGATTCGTTCACGGGACTCATAAACATAATGACAGACATCATTTGGCGTTACACTGGAGATTTCATGGCCCCTGATATTGTTTGCAGAGTCGTGCGCTACTTCCAGGTACAGGAACCTCCTGCTCCCCTGCATGCCCAAGCTCGCCTGGCTTTGTGCCCCCACAGCAATAAACCTTAACAAAATTGCTGCGTAGACTAGAAGTGCTAAATGCTAAAAGTGTTCGTTCAATGTTGAAAGACTTTTAATTAAAGGATTTTCTGTAGTATCAGAAGTGCTAAATGCTAAAAGTGTTCATTCAATGTTGAAAGACTTTTAATTAAAGGATATTAAATATTTTAAGTTCTGCGTATAAAGTAAAGGACAGAGATCTGGGTGAAAAAAGGGGGATTTTTCTTTTTTCTTCTTTTTTTTTTTTTCAGTAAGTGTTTTCAAATATTCTTAGTTCATTGTTCTTGCTGACATTATTTTCTGCAACGAATGTGTCTCAACTGCTGCCTCCTGTACCTTCTGCTCCAGGTGGTCCTTCTATACGCCTCGACTTACGTCCTTGTGTCACTAAGCATCGACCGGTACCACGCCATAGTTTACCCAATGAAATTCTTGCAAGGAGGTAGGAGAATTTCTGTACCTTGCTATTGCTATGGATATTCTTGGATAGTTTTTTAGTTTCAAAATTATTAACCTTGTTGCCATGAATTATTCATTCCTGCCGTAGCAGCATTTGGACACCGTTACAGTTTTCCAAATGGCAAAGGAGCCGTGGTTTCAAGATTTATTAAGCTGCACTTACCCCTCAGCAGGTTTTTTTTTAAGCATGGTGTTAGCAGAGAATGAAATGACATTTAAAAAATTATAGAGGTTTTCATTATCTTCCAGGATTTTGAGAAGGTTACTATTGGCAAAAGCTACAAGAGTACCACTTTACTGGTTCTAGGAGCCGCAATAGTTATATTGTCTATTTATTCACACTAAAAAATAACTTGGAGAGAGAGAGTAGTACTGAGAATTCGAACAATAGTTTGATAAGAGAACTTCAAAAGCTACAGCATGTAAGTTTGGATATCTATTGTTTCTTGTAATTTCTTTTATTTGTTATTTTTACAGCATTCAAATACATCCTGGCTGCTTTACAATATAAAGAACATGATTTCTTTCCTACAGAGCCCAAAAGTGGGACGTTCAGTACGTTGCACTGAGAGAATAAACAGAAATAGCAGGAGGGGAGGAAGGGGAACGGTTACAAGAACCGTGAGCTCTGGAAGACACGCTTTAATCAGACACAAATATCATTCTTGTTTTGGGGTAATGATGGCTTTTGACAGCCTGCTCTGTTCAGGGGATCGGATTAATGGTCCTAACCAGCCTCAAAAACCTAGGAATCAATCACAGCCCAGGCGGCGGTGCAGCTCTCGCAGGGGTTAAGTTCTGAAAACTTCAAATACTTTGTGAAATTCAGTCTCCTATTCCCCGGTGTGCAGACCAACTTTTTCAGACCCAGAGGGGATTGACATCAAGGTGGTTTTTTTTTTCTTACCGGGTTTTTGGGAGTGGTGTGCTCTGCAGCTCCTGCGGACACTGAGCTGGGCTCGGGAGGGCTCCTGAGCCACCTTGAAGCACCGAGTGATGGCTGAGCAGGGCGAGCGGTGGGACAGGCTCCCTGACATTTTGTCTTCGTACGTGGTAGAGGAAAAGCAGCCCTTGTTAAATCACTGCCTGGGCTTAGTAAAGAATTTAGCAGTTAATCTTTGTAAAGCGCTTTGAAGTTGGGAAAAAAAAAAAAACAGAAACCACCAAACCACCTCAAATCTTTATAAAAGCCTTTTTTTTTTTTTTTTATCTCGATCCCATTTTCTATACCTACAGTGTGAATTTTTTTTCTTTCCTTTTTAAGACTGGAGAAAGGGAGATGTTGCACCCAGCCGAGGGGCAGCAGAGCCACCAGCTGGATGAAGCTCTGGGGGGGGAAAAGGCTGGGGAGATAAGGCTGGCAAAGCCCACCTGCCTCTGGCTAGGGCTGGCTACACACTGATGGACAAGCAAAGACCACGTTTAAGTGCAAAAAGGAGGCATATATTTACCATAGCAACTTCCTCAAAGTTCCTGAAATATGCATAAATATTTACCTTTTGCATCCAGGTATTCCTAGCAGAGGTGGTGGGGGGCGAGGAAGCTTTTTGAAATGTCCTTTTAGCTCTTCTGCAGGCAGAGAACAAAGAGATTTATGAAATTTTGTCATTGGTAATGACACAGAGAAACTTTAAAACCAGTTCTGAGTCAGCTTGTGGCGAATTTCTTTCCAAAATGAAACACTCACCCCCCCAAAAGCATTCAATCAAGAAATGAAAGAGTTCTTTCTCCTTAGCAGTTTTAAAAATTATGTTTCCATATAGCTTGAAATATAATTTTGGTGAAAAAAATCAAACATTTTGCTTTGAAAATGTCACACTTTTTTTTTTAATTGTGGTTTATTTACTAGCCTCAAGTCATGTTAAAACACATTTGCATGGCCTCTTAGGAAACAAACTTCAACATTTAAGTATTTTATACTCACTTTGCAAATACATAAATGACCACAAAAAGTGCAGGACTTGAAAGAGTTATACCTACTAATCCTAATGCTTTTACTGTGTGAGGCACCTAATTCAATAATCAAAGGGGTCCTTTAAAAAAATTGTAAAATAAAGATTGAACAGAAACTGAGAAGCTATAGCAGAAGATGCTATATGCAGATATATGCAAAAGTATAGAAACTAAACAGCAGGAGACAATAGAACTGCTTAAGGAAAAGATAAAACCCAAGCAGGTGTAAACTGCCTGTTGCATGGCTTTGGGCTGCAAATGATAGAATCATGGAATCATAGAAAAGTCGAGGTTGGAAGGGACCTTTAAGATTGTTGAGTCCAACCATCAACCTAACTCTGATAAAAAACCATCACTAAGCCATGTCTCTAAGCTCTATGGTCCAGCAGATGAATGAGATTCTGGAACAACTCTGTCCCTCTGGATCTAATTTTAAAATGGCACTGGTTTTATAGAAGGAACGTAGAGCACTGCTGTTCATGGTAGAAAGGACCAAAACTCCTCCCAAGAGGAGTTTTCCTCCCCACCACATGTTGCTGGGAGCAGGCAGATGTGCACAAAGCCACAGCCACAGGGTATGGACGGTGGAAGTGGAGGAAAGGGGACAGGGACATGAAAATGTCCTTTAGGAGAGCCAGTGGCAGAGCTCACAACAGATTCCCACTCCAGCCCTGTGTGTTAGCCTTGACCCCCCTCCCAGTATGAAAGACCCTCCATTTAAAGAGCAATATTGTTTTTAAGACTGGAGGAATAGAATATCATGGTTTAAAAGCTGTTATTATTTGATTCCATTTATAATTTAGGTAGTTCTAGTTATATTATTAGCTGGCTTTTAGGGCATAGTAGAGCATTTACAAAAAAGAACATAAAAAACCCCTGCTTGCGAGACAGCCAATTAGCATTTGTCTGATAAAACAAAAATCTACTTACCTAGATGCTATCAGTGCCCTGTATAGCCCTTTGGACTAGCAAGGCCATATTCCACCAAAACCAAGGGACATTAAAAAACCAGATTAAATGAACATTGCAGGTAATGTTTTATAAAACACAGAGATAAAATATCATTATTCTCCAACGCAAATTGCCCACTTCTCTTCAAATTAAGGGTGTTACTACACAGTGCAAAAAATAAAGTATATTATCCAAGCATGATCTTTTCACCTTAGAAATAGACACGTGGGCCCCACTGAGGCTTGTACATATGTAGTTTAAGTAGCTACCTCACAATAGAAAAGCCCTTTCTGCCAGAAAATGTTTTATGAAACTTACTCTTAATATTCCTTCTGCTAACTTTATTCTATTATGCTTTGGGAAACTTTAAGGTTCTCTTCTGCCTGTGCAATATTTATAGACTTAATCTAGCCCTCTCACTTCAATGTCATCAGAGTTCCCTTAAGCCCTAGGTTAGCTTAAAAATGAGCAGGATAAGTGAATATTTGCAACTGATGTTTTATAAAGCATAAAATTACTTTTTGAATGCTTCTCTCACACTTCTGTATTGCTCTTTGAGCTTCAAGGAGGAAAGACGTTCTTCTTGATATGCATAGTTCAAAGCGATTTTCCATTTCATACACAACCTCGGGTATTTTGTAGGACAATAAAGTATTTCAACACCAAAGCTTCCCAGATCAAAAAAAATCTGTCCCCATCTGTTCTTCTCACAATCTGAATCAGGAGGAGAAAATTCTGCCGAGAGTCACTGGTACTGCACAGATCAGTCTTTTTTCTCCACACTTCTCATCTAGACCCACATGGATTTTAGCCAGAAGATGCAGATTTGTGAAGAAGAATGTCTTGGGGCTGATTACTCCAACCCATTGATTTTTGCAAAGTTCCACGAAGGAAAAATTTAGTTACTAGCCTCAAGTCACGTTAAAATGCAAAAGCAGCCAAAGAGGCCAGAAGTCAAGGGGAAGCAGTAGCCCAAACCTGCCAAGTGTTTTGGGATTCTTCAATTCCTCTTCATCACCATGAGGTCCAGCAGTATCTTCTAGTCAATGTTGGTTGTAGCAGATAGAGAAAATAGGGCTGAGCACTTGAGCACCAGCCCACCATCATCAGCCTTGTTTCATGGTTAGCAGTCCACCCTTAGCATGGCTTGAGCATCACTGGTGCTCCTCCATCATCAGGAGCTGTGTTTGGTCCCTGCAGTGCCGTGGCTCTCCAGGATGATGTTTCTTTGGGGCAGTAGAATTGCAGTTGGGGTTTAAGGCAGCTGGCTGTGCGCTTCTGCCCCTATCCTGACCAGAGGTGTTTTCTCTTCCCTGACAGGACATGTTTTGCAAGCTGTCTCACTACCAGGTGCATCAAAATTACCATTTATTTAACTACCATTCCAAGGAGGATATTTTCCCCCTCCGGTACATCCAGGATCCTTCAACCTAGTGTATGCTTTAAGTAACCCTACTGGGTCTCAGCTTTCCTCTGTTATCTGTCACACAAGGGCTCCTTCTTCCTTTCTAGCTCTGTGTCCTCCTATTAATGGCCTCTTTGTGGTGCCAGGGTAAGAGTGCACAGTAGGGCAGAGGCCTGAAGTCCTTTGTATTTTTTCATGTTGTTGTTTTGGTGGCACAGAGGAGCCTTTCACTTCTGTTTCTGACTTGCTGACCCTGACCAGTGCCTTCCCCATAACGCTTCCGTTTCACTGGACCCTCCCCATCCTTAAATAAAACATTTAAAATACAAACCCCATAGCGACATGACCTTTCAGCACGAGAACAAGATGAAATCCCCTGACTCCTTTGCAGTCTCTTCAGCCTCAGACCAAAATTCGCTTTCTTCACCCGGTTTCCTCCCCCTCCCTGCCTTTCTATCAGTACTGCTACCAGGGGCCAGTCACACCCCCATTAACACCGTCTGTTTGACTCTGTTACACAGAAAGACAGGCGAAAGTTCTTATTGGAGTGGCCTGGAGCCTCTCTTTCCTGTTTTCCATACCGACTCTGATTATTTTTGGGAAACGGCAGCTCTCCAATGGAGAAGTGCAGTGCTGGGCTCTCTGGCCTGATGACTCCTACTGGATACCCTACATGACGGTGGTGGCTTTCCTGGTGTACTTCATTCCTCTGATCATCATCAGGTAAGCCTGAACCGCAGTCATCAAGTGTGTGGTGAAAGCTGTCAAGGGTGCAATCAGCCTAATGCCTTAATTTCTACTCATTCATTACGGTTTCATTTCCACGCCTGCCTTATAGCTGCTTCAGTTTTTATCACATAATACACAGGTCACTGTACTCACCCTGGGTGTTCTCCATGCCGTATTAATAGCCAGAAATATTCTCTCGGAAAAAAAAAGACTGAATCTCTAAGCGTGTCCACTTATCTCCACAGATTCAGGCTTGAAACATATCGTTATAAATCCACTAAGAATATCTAGCTGTTATGACAAAACATAGTTTCAAGGAAAGAACAAGGGACAACACTTAATGCTAATTAAACTAAAATTAACTTAAAGTGCTCTCAAGCTTCATAGTACCAGAAAAGTTTTTCTTCACCAGGACCAGAAAGAAATCTCTAAGCATATGAAGTTGCCAACCACTCCTACAATATGAACAAATAAAATTCTTCCCATTTTCTAATGGGAAGTCTGAGCTGAAAATATTAGAGACTGATCTGTCCAAAATCACAAGTATGTTCTGCAGCAGAATCTACTTTAAAACGGAGGTCAATCAATATTCCAGCCTGTGCTTGGTGATCAGGGAATTCTATTGCCTTCCTCTAGGGTGCTGCCATTAGCCACAGTTAAAGGAAAATTACCTACCCATGAGGAGCTAATAATGCAAAGGAGCAGTCAAAAACTAACGTGGAAGAGGAGTGAGGCTTCTTTACTTCCTTGAAAGGCACTAACTTGTTCTCTGAGCCCAGCTGAATTCCTTTTCTTTCTTTCCCTTTTATTCTTTTGCTGTAGCACGGTCACAATAGGATCTCTCGGTGTCTATCTCTTCTTCTTAGTGACAAAGAAGACTTCCCAGGACTCCCTTTGTTCCCCATAATTTGGTGGCATGCTGTTTGGGCTGTGAGAGAGGAGCTACGTTTGCATGTCCCTTGGACATCTCTCATGGTCCTTCTGCTTTCCCAGCAGGTGATGAGCCATGAGTTGCAGTTAGTTTCCCCCTCATTAGCACCCCAGGTGAGAGCAAGGTGGGGGGCCTGGTCTTTTCTAGACGATGACAGGACTGACTAAGTAAGCTAAATAGTAAAGACAGTGGTGTGGGTTTAGTTCCTTTCCAGTTCAGTTGTGCCTCGACGTTTCTCACTGTTTAATCACACAGATTAGGTTCTGCAGCTTCAAATGGAAACGAGTTTATCTCTGGGAGAACCAAAACCACAGCATGGAAGTGGTGGAGCTTGGAGCATGGTGGAGCATGGAAGCCATGGTGTTTGAGCTCATCCAGCTGACTTTTTGAGACACATTGAACATTGACCAGCATTGATCCCTACCTAGAGAGAAGGGACAATTATTATACTTTGCTCGTAACACATCAGTTTGCTAATCCTTCCATTTTTTTTTGTGTCAGATTGCACAGATACACAAGCAAAATCATGAGAAGTTCTCCTTGAAGGAAGGACATGATAACAACAGAGAAAAACTACTCTTAGTAGTAGTACACTTAGCAGACTATCCAATTGCTCTTCCTTCCTAGACAGGATCCTTTCTCTTTGGATGTTTGCCTGTGTCTTAAAACCAACCTAGCTTTAAACAAACCAGAAAAAAAATACTCTTGGGAACATGTAAACAAAAATGTGGATCTGCAGCTCAGCACTAGCAGCAAAAAGAATAAACACCCAGAGAAGAGACGAGAAGTAATTTAACTGTGCAGAAGAAATGACGCTAGAAAACTTAGAGGCTGGCCGTCACTGTGAGAGGAGTTTTTGTTACAAATTTTCTCAAGTAGCTAGCAATTAGCGAATTCTAGCCAGCATCTGAAGTGTTTCAGGAGAAGGGCCCGTAATCTGTCCAGTGGTCAGTCATTCCACGGGTGTGTGAAACCCATCTCGTTTGCACTCAGACTTACAGATTCGCCCACTTGCTATTTCAGATCGGCCCCTCCTTTTCACGTGGCATCTATACTTGTTTGGCAAGAAAAGGCAAGCTACAGAGCCACAAATTTTTTTTGGAGCTGGTGACATTGTGTTCCCCTCCTCCCCTGCCAAAGGAAGACATTCAAACCAGATCAGCTGGGTGACTTGCCTGACAGTAAATCCCCAGAAGCAAGAAGGCAATGAAGACATGAGGGGAAAGGGGAAGGCGGCGAAACTGGCATTGCATGAGATTGCCCTGACAGCTGAGACATGAATAAAACATCCGAAAATTTTTTTGAGGCTTTAACCTGAAGCCACTTTCACATGAGAAGTTTATGGCAGGCCAGGAACCGAAAACGCTGTCCTTGGAGGTAGAGCAGTGCCCAAACACGTGCCTGGTTTCAGTGTACGAGGACACAAATTTGTACATGCTCCTGCGTCCTTGCCAGCAGAAGACAAATTTTTGACAGGTCCTACAAGGTGTCAGACACGGGGAGGGAGGAAGGAAGGAGGGTGGTGCAGGGACGGATTTTTTTGTGCCCATTTTACTTTTAGCTGTCAGCGACACTGTTTTCTTCAGATCAGAGAGGATTGTCTCAAACCACATAAAAAGAGGATTACCATCAGGGCAAGGTCAGCAGAGACATTATGAACAAATGCCATACAGTTTGGAAAGAACTGGCCTGTTTTTTAGAACATTTTTTTTCTAGTTTCAAGCATCCAACGGAAGGTTGCAACTGGCCAGCTGATGCATCTGTAAAACATCTGTCAATAGAGCCTCCAGCCGTGACATCTATGGCTTTAAAGTTTCTTGGCAGTCCAGGAGTTTAAAGCTAATCCACCTGATGTGGCTGCAGCATACAAATGCTCCAGTGAGCAGCTTGCAGCTGAGGAACAGCAGGAACGGCTGTTAACACCTTCAAGGACTGGATTTCTCTGCAAAATTTTTGTTCCAGCAGATACTTTCGGGTGCAGAGAAAGTTTGATGGCACACGAGAGGCTGTTTCACAAGGGTGAGAGAGATCACGTACACCGTAGTCGGGTGTCACTCTGCTAAAAGATTAATTATAAAAATGGAAGGGGTTATTTAGTAAATGAAGGAAGGAATTTTGTGGTATTTTTAATTTAGTGTTCTTTAGCCACAACATAACAACGGAGAGACAACCCAAAAATGCGTGATTGAAAAGTCAAGGATCAGTATCCAAGAAGCCAGGAATACAAATAAGCCAGAAGTCAAGGCACACGCCACAATTCCTAAGGAAGAGATGTGGGGTGCACACAGAGAGAGAATAAGACCTTTTCTGCAATTATTCATTTTTTTTTGAGCAGCTACTTTATTTTTTCTGCCGAAGCACTCTGATTCAGCTGCATGGCAGGTGCCTGATGCAATGTGGGACACTGGCTGGCGGAGTTAATTCTTAATTAGTTCTGCTGCCTGAATCTGCTGAAAACCTAACCTCTAGAGCAAAGCAGTTCACTGATGACAGCACTTTTTCTGATGCAGTTCATCTGAAGTGCATACAAAGGATAAAATTTTACTTTTCAGGTGCAGGACTTAATTCCACACTGTATACGCTGCTTTGGCTGAGCGGTTTCCACTTGCTACAGTCCAGGTACCATCAGCTTTTAAGCTGCTCTCATCCATCCCTCGGCTCTTTTGGCAGAGCTGATTTCACATGTTCCTGACGCAGCCTTCAACTAACTCACAGAAGTTGTGTTATTCATAACGCTGCAGCCCATGGAATGAATTATTTAGCTGGTAACCTTATGCTCGGTCTGGAAAACCCTTCCACCAATGAGCTAATCCCCCAGACATGGTGTGAGCAAACCCTGTAGATTCCAAGCTAAAACAGGCACCAAAAGAAAACAACAACCTGTCCTTTCTTTTTTTTTTTTTTAACATATCATAGAATTGTTTAGATTGGAAAAGAAATTTCAGATCATCGAATCCAACTGTTAATCTAATACTGCCAAGTCCACACCACTAAACCAAGTCCATAAGCACCACGTCTACACATCTTTAAAATACCTCCAGGGATGGTGACTCAACCTCTTCCTTGGGCAGCCTGTTCCCACGGTTAACAAACCTTTCAGTGAAAGAATTTTTCCTAATACCCGTCCTAAACCTCCCCAACACACAGCACAACTTGAGGCCGTTTCCTCTTCTCCTATTGCTTGTCACTTGGAAGAAGAGACTGACCCCCACCTCTCTACACCCTCCTTTCAGGTAGCTGTAGAAACTGATAAGGTCTTCTTTCAGCCTCCTTTTCTCCAGGCTAAACAACCCCAGCTCCCTCATAAGACGTGTGCTCTAGACCCTTCACCAGACACATTGCCCTTCTTTGGAAATACATATAAAAAGGGAATCTATGAACAAAACTGCAACAGCCCTCAAAGATTTAAACACTTGGGAGGTCTCTTCCCACCACTTCTCCACAACTGGAGAATCAGCAATCAGTTATCAAACGGCTTGTGGTTTTCTGGCAAGTTATTTTTCTGATGGTAATACAAACGAACAAGACCTGAATAATGAGAAGAGAATGAAAAGCTGTGATTAGATTTTTAACCCAAGTGTGTGGTTATCTCTGAGAGCTGGGGAAAGGGGAGAGTATTTGTTCTTTTCCTGCCGAAGTTGCCCTCCTCACCGCTGCCTCTGTGTTGGTCAGGGAGAGCCACATGTGCGTCAGGTCCTTCTTTACAGCACTTAAAAATTTGGCTTGCTCTTGCCTCTTATTTAGACTAATCTACCACTTTTTCTGTAGTTGATATTGTCAACCTACCAAAACCAGAAAATTCAGGAAAATTAATTAGGCAACCAGCAATAATTAGTTGTCTCCTATCCTGGAACAAGTGTCATCAGTCATTTCTCCTATGCCAAGATATGGCAAACAAAGCTCAAATGGAACCTGTGACAGTTGAACAGCTCTGGGACATTGCTGAACAGAGGTTCAATATGGCTCAGATCAAGATTACAGACTGCTTGCTTGCAAATATTTGCACCTGGGCTCCTCAGGTCCTTGTGACGAGGAGTCAGGAGAGCTACTGTGTTTCTATTCTGTATTACTCCTCTGTGCCAAACCATAATTATATTCTGACACATCCAGAAATTCATTTTTTTTAGCTGTTATTCATGATTACCAAATATTTTTTTTTGTATTTTAACCTGATAAATGTAATACATAGATGCTTATGTAACATAATTCTGAATTCAGGTTAAAAAAAATTGCAAAAGTTCCTGTTGAAGGACAGAAGGAAAAAAAATCCATCTGCTGTTTAAAATCAAAATTCCAAAGAGAACATTTGCTTTGGAGCAGCAGAAAAATAATTAGAAGAGGAAAACCAGAATCAGCTAGAAGAAAAAATATGGAACTAAACCCAAGATGTTACAATGAAATTTTAAAAAAAGATTAAATAAAAGGTATTTGTTTGCATTAAATCAAATAAAGGGAATAAAAATGCCATTATTAAAAATACCAAAGGTCATGTTTTGAGCTTTATTCAATGAGCACAATCATTTTTGCTTGCAATTTCCATTTCTAAATAAAAAAGCCTTGATCTTGCACTTATGTCCAAATATCTGCCTGTCTATTCACTTGCCCATTTTACATGTCTGCAATGGTTTGTTCAGATGAAGTTACATATGCCTTTTGTCTTTAGATAAGTGGTGCTGTAAATTAGCTACCATAAAACATAACGCAGCTGCATCACTTTGCACAAATAAAGTACAGGAAAAATAGGCAATGCTGGATGATAAATAGAAGCAATTAGCAGGGAGCTTAAGTGTATTTTTTGTAAAGGCTCATTTTGCTAATAAATACTGGGTGGGACAGTACCATAGTTCAATCATTTATTTAAATAAAAATAGAAAATCTGTTTAAAGAGTGGGCAGATCAATAACTCTTATGATTGTTAATATCAATACACAGCTTTACCGGAAGAAATTTTATTTTTCAAATCAAAAGTGATCTATGAATTAAAAATAAAGACAGAGTGGGACTATTCACAGTAGCATTTGTATGACTAATCATAAGTTAGCTATTTACATGCACAGAGAGTGCTGTAATTACCAGTGGGGTCAAATTAAACACCACTAATAGCATGCTACAATGAACATGCATCTTAGTCCTTCAGAATTTGGATCAAGCTAAATTGGTTTTGGAGATGGAACAAATTTAATTTGCTGAGATACATCCATAGTCAGAACCACATTCGTTGTTTGTTTTCCGGCCACCTTTCCAGATATGTATTTTATCAGGGCTAGAAAAATCGCTGCATTTTCAGATCAACAGCGTGTCCTTTCTATCCTGTCTTCAAATTCTGAGCAGCTCTTTTGTAAAAGGGCTCGGATTATTTTTCCACCTGGGTTTGACTACTCTACCCGAGCTCTTTCTTCCTTTTCAGTGGTCTCTCACCTGCAAATAATGGGCCACAATGACTCATATAACATTTTAGCATCACACTGTACATTAAAATGACTGCAGCACGTGTTTATGTAGCACCCAAGAATCCCCAGGGAGGGCTGGGAGAAGATCAGTGCACTGTGCACTTACAGACACAAAGAAACTTTCTTTTTAGGAGAAAGTTCTTCACTGTGAGGGTGGTGGAGCACCAAAACAGGTTGCCCAGGGAGGTGGTTGAGGCCCCCTCCCTGGAGATATTCAAGGTGAGGCTTGATGAAGCCCTGGGCAACCTGGTCTAGTTGGGGGTGTCCCTGCTGACTGCAGGGGGGTCGGACTAGATGAGCTTTGGAGGTCCCTTTCACCCTGGACAACTCTATGATTCTATGAAACCTGACAACAGCTGGACCCAACAAAATGCACATCACATCTCCTCCTGCTGCCAGTGGAGACAAGAGCAAGCGTCTGGACCTAACAAAATGCACATCACATCTCCTGCTGCCAGTGGAGACAAGAGCAAGCGGTATGCAGGCACGTTACGCCTGCTGGAAAATGAGGTTTGTGGCCTCATTTGTGCTTGTGCATCTCGGCAGGGAAGGCTGAGCACCTGGATGTTGAGAGGAAGGGAACAGAGATCACGGTACCATCAGGATGGTGCAGACCACTGCCAAGCACCCTCCTGTCCATCTGAACACCAGGCGTCACGTGTCCCCTGCTACTTATTGCTCACCTGCCACTTCATTTTTCATCAAGTGGGAATTTCTTCCCACCCTTTGAGACGTCACCAACCGCCACATCCTCCTCCAGCCACCCTTTACAGAAGGAAAGAAGTTGCAAATGCATTCTGAAAAAAAAAAACCCCTGCTTTTCCCCTGTAAGAAAAATACAGCTTCTGTTCCATAAGTGCTCTCTTTTTAAACGCAGATGACTTTTAGGATCTTAAGCTTTGGGTGACACATTTCTGGAAACTGCAGTTTCTTAGCTCCATGCCAGCATAGCTGGGAAAAAAAAGAAGGAAAAAAAAAAAAAAAAAAAAAAAAAAAAAAAAAAAGAAAAGAAAAGAAAAAAAGACAGAAAGATGAGGCACTAATAAGATCTAGAATCTCAGAGAGATCAAAGCACGAAGGCATGACTGTGCCTGGCAAAACAGTCACTGGGACACGTACCTGGCATGACAAGTAACTCATCTTTCCTAACACTCATCCTAAGCAGCTTTATGTCACCTCTGGTCCTCTCCTGACAAGGAAGGCTCCAACGGACCCAGCTGTAGAGAAACGAAAGACGAAGAGAGGCAAAAACACCAGTGCAAATCCATTATGTTGGCATCACTTTAGAAGTCACTGTATTAAACCAGGAATTAAACTTTCCTCTGGACTTCTGAAAAAAAAAAGGATTCAAGTGAAACAGCGTGTCGTCTGACTTGTGAAATGCCAAGTGTCTTCTGGGGCCATTCCCATGACTGGTGCATGAAGAAGACAGCCCCTCTAACTGCATCCAGTCAAAGGGATGCTCCTACCTGACTCCGTAGCCAAGAAGGCAGGATTTCTGGGGCTGGAGGGAATGCAAGTGAGGAGCCTGGCTTTCTAATTCAATACTTGTGGCTCCTGGGTAGACGAAGGGAGTCTGAGTATTTTGACTATCGAGTTAGTCTCCTTCATCCTGATGCTCAGGCAACGCTGAGAGTATCCTGCTGGGCACATGCAGGTCTGCATCAAAGGGGATATTGTTTCAACTGCAAATAAAAAGGTTAGGCTAGAGATAGCAGGCTAGGGAGAAAATAGAAACAGGGCGTTTAGGAGCTGGCTGGAACTTTTCTTACAATTATTGTTATAACACATTCTTATCCATTGGAACAATCAAAAGAGAATTGATACATGAATTTTCCACCATTGTCTGTAGGAAGTACAAAGGAAGTCTCAAGTGCACCCGCTGATAAATAAACAGGTTCTTGAAAAGCCAGGAGATGAAAGGAAAATGTTGGAGTCAGCTGGGAGCCACGCTGGACCTTTGAAGGGATTAAGGAGGGCAGGCTGGAGTCCGCAGCAGATGCCTGCAAAAGTCTCACTGGACAAGTCCTCCTCGGCTCTGCTGCACAGCCCGGACCCCACATCCAATTTCCAGCTCTCCCCTGGTGAGCCTGGAAACCAGATGGCTCAGACTTTTGCAAGCGTGTCTAGGAATTGAGGGTGCTGTAGGAAAGGCTCATATATCAGTCTGAAAACTCTAAGAAGTATAACGTCTCTTCTGGTAATAAAAATAAGCCAGGTTGGTAATAAGACACATCTTTGTCTCTATAAAACACACTGGAATCATCTCACTAGTTGCACAGAGTCACTTCTAAAGTTTATGGCAATTAATGCCCCAGGCCTTCTGTTATGATGCTTGGTTTTTACATCAGGAAAACATGGCAACCCGAGTGCGTTAGCTGGAATATTTTGTAATTATTTTTGTCTTCCTTAGCAGACTAAAAAGGAAAACACCAGTCAAAAGTATGCTGTTGCTTAGTGATTTTAGCTGCGTGTTATTCACCCCTGCAGGAGAAAAGGCAGACAGAGCAAGACCTTGTACTTTTTTAATGTAAATTGCTGAAAAGGTAACATCATCATCCAGGATGCGGATTTAAACAGCTCTTCACCTTGAAGGAATTATTTTTGCCTGTTATGTATTAAATAAAGAGAATTCCAGATTTGTTATCACCTAGAGAAAAGTCATAACTATCCAAGGTCATTGTGGACTAGGGCATTTTTCATTTTGCTCATTAAAAGCATATGTATGCTCTCTAAATATGAAAATTGTGTTGGAGGTGGTTATGAGTAATCTAACTTCTCCCATTTACCTGCTACTTCTGTCCTCCTTGGTTCCAATCCCAGGACCTTGAGACCTCAAAGTGAGCAGCGCCGTACTTAGCTGCATTTCTCATGGATCTTGCCCCCGTTGATGTCCTCAGGGTACTGCTCACAAAGAAACACCAAACCAGACCAGTACACACAGCCAAAACAGGTCCAGGCCCTTGTTTCCCCCATTTCAGGACTAGTGGCCTTCTTGTGGCTCCCAATCCCACAAGCACACCCTCTGCAGGGTTGAGGTGCATCCTGCCTGGGGCTGGTACCCAGGCAGATTTGGCCTCTAGCTAGCTCAAAATCCCTGACAAGTTCTTGCCTGAGAGATCTGGACCAAATCATTGCATTCCTCTGCACCACAGATTTGACATCTGCAAAACTAGGACAGCTATAGCAACTTCCATGGTGAAAGCTCTTCAGATCTGCTTCTGAAAAGTACTATGGGAGAGTCGTATTTTATTTATTATTGTTGCTGTCATTATTATTCCCATGAAGTCCCATCATCTCTATGAGCTCTTTACATGTAGATAAGTATATTCATAGAACATGAAAGGCTGGGATTTAGGTAAATTTACTGTAGCTCATAATATCAATGACTTTTTCCCTTCTGTAGCGTCATATACTCAATCGTGATTCGAACCATCTGGATGAAGAGCAAAGCTCAGGCTGTCATCATATCCAGCTGCCCTGGTGAGTCTCAGCACGCGTTTCTCCAGCCTCATCATCTGAATCTGTCTGGTTTCCCCTGCTCCAGGAGTGCCTGGACATGCAGTGTCACACTGGGACCCATTGCTGCAGTGGAAATGGGTTTTCTCTAATTGCTCACTCATAACTTTTTCCTGCATTTTTTGCCTTCTCTCCTTTGACACTAAATCCCCTTTAGAGAAACAACAGAAAACATCTTGAAGAAAATAATTAAAAGGTAAAAAAACCCTTATTGTAGATCTTAGGATCCCTATTCCTAGAACTTTACCCGTTTCCAGAATAAATTTTTTCTAGCAGATACTTAGATAACTCTTTTGCTATGCTTTCATATGACCTTGCAAGTCTGGATTTCAGTCAAGATCAAAACCCCTGGCCATGGAAAGCCATAAAATGAGCTGAGCTTTCCACCTCAAGACCATAAACTTTTTTGGACTGTTCTGATTGATTCTGGCAAAGAATCTGAGCACAAATCATTTCAATATCCTCACTCGTCAGCTGCCTTTCCTATTAGTTATGAAGAAAAGCATGTTCATTTATGCTAATATGTTTTACAACACAACGGTAAGAGCACATAATCAATTAATGCAGCCAAGCAGTGGCTGGAAACACATCAAGCTATGGGGACCAAACTGCTGGTACTCACCTGAAGAAGGACCGTGGATCATGTCTGATACAAGACGAAGTGTTCTAATGTGATATTGCACGTATTCAGATATCCTTATGTCATAACCTGACATCTGTCAATTAAAATCTAAGATTTGCTCCTCCTTTGAACAGCTTGAGCAGGATTGGTTTCTAATGATCTTCATGACACTGACATAATCAGTATTAGCCAGTCTTGGAAAAAAACGTCATTTTTCTCATCCAAGAGAGTATAAATCAACAAGTGATTTCCAGTAATATTAAGTGTGGGCTAATTTCAAGTATCTAGATGGGATGTCTCACTCATAACAAGCCTGTATTAATTTTATTTTTATATTTTTCCTTACAAATAACACAGCCTTAATATGCTGTTTTTATAAGAGGCACTAACAGTTGTGTACACAGAGGTTTTTCCAATTGCATTAATCAAAATTCCAGTCCCAGGTTTGGACCACAAGAGTTTGAAGATGTTTTGACACAAAATGACCTTCTTGAGTATTCACTACACTGAACTTAATTATTCTGACCTAGCAACATGAACAGCAAATTGACATTAATAATGAAATCAGGCATATTATTGCAATCCTGCTGGTACTGTTATTCAAATACAGAACTTGATTCTTGGAGACATTAGTGTGACTTCAGAGGAAATGAGATCAACCAGCCTTGGTGTTAGACTGAATAGGATTTGCTTCTCAATGCAAGCCACACTTCGTCTCTGAAGAGCTAGTCTAACAGCATTTCATATTTCATTACTGAGTCAACATGGAGAGTAAAATGCATGACTGATTATTCAAAGCATCAAAAAAAGTAAGAGGTTAAGGGAAAGGAGTATGTGGCTTTTAAAGTCCTTCTGACTGAAATGCAGTTGAAAGTGAACAGGTAGTCTGATTTGCCAGGCTGTTTCTTCTGTTTTCTTAGTTACAGCTGAATACTCCTTTCAGAAAATGTCTCCTATAATGCCACACTGGTTGCATTTTTGTGGCTGTGGTGGCAGATGGATTACAGTTGGGCACATAGGCAGTGGTTATTATTATCAGTGGTTTTTATTATTGTTGTTATAAATTATTATTATTTATTAGACTGATACGGTTGGGCACATAGTGGCAGACTAAGTGTCGAGGATCAGGAATACCCAGCTGCCACAATGCTTCAGAAAGATCTCTTCTGCTTACATTTCCCCTTTGGATTTTGAGTGGCTCAGGTTTTGAGCGTCCAACTTCAGCAGGTTTGCAAGTGTCTGAATTTCAGAAACCACTGAGCCCCTGCCTGATGCCAGGGAAGATGGGCTACATATCACTGTCCTGCCTGCAGAGGTGTGCGCCTGAAACATCCACGCACCAGCCATCTTCTCTAACTAGCTGACCTGTTCTTTCCCCAGGTGGCAAAACCTCTGCTGGCTACACCAGTCGTGGGTTCATATCCAGGGCGAAAGTGAAAGCCATCAAGTACAGCATCGTAATTATCCTTGGTAAGTGAGAAGCCCCATAGCTGGTAGCTAGGGAGGATGCTGATGTTAGGAAGCTGGTCTTCCTCAGCTCCCTCTGCCATCAGCAGATAAAGTAGATGGCTCAGAGAAGGAACTTTACTTAGACTCCCTGATTTGCCTTCTGACCTTCTCCTTCCCCTTTCCTCTGGCTGATAGGAAGTGGTGGAGTCATCATCCCTGGAGGTATTTAAAAGGCAGGTAGATGCGGTGCTTCGGGACATGTTTTAGTTTTGTCAGTGCTAGGTTCAGGGTTGGACTCGATGATCTGAGAGGTCCCTTCCAACCTAGGCAATTCTATGATTCTATTCTAGGCATCTGGCACAAGCCTCAAATGAAATGAGGTGCACAGCCTCTCATGTGCATAAAGTAAGGAAGAGACATTTCCTAAAAGGAAAAAAGGAAGGGCTCGTCTGCTTCCCATCCAGGCTGCCAAAACGCTTGAGAAATGAGTTGCCTTTTAGGCTTAGAGACCGTGTGTGGCATGCTAGCTGCTGGGGTGGTGCGAGGGAGAGGAAGGAGAGGTGAGGGATGCAGAGCAACTGAATTTGATGTGAGAGGTGTGTTGCCTGCTGAGGTGAGAAGAATAAGCTCTCTCCTTTCCCGACCAGGCAGCAGATGACTCAGTGCAGGTGTCCTCCGTCTCCCAGGGAGATGACATTATCCTGATGGAATTAGGAGGCTGACATTTTATCTCAATAAATAAAGGCAGCACCACACAGGGTGATGAGCTGCTGGAGACAGGCAGGAAGGAGACTGGAGCTATTTACCAGCCCAAGGGCTGACAGCCGTCCCCTACCACTGAAGAAGAGATTGCTCCTCCTTCCAACTCAACACAAAAATCAGATGGGGTGATGTTGTGATAGTGACTACTACTGAGGTTCTTACAGAATCACAGAATGCTATGGGGTTGGAAGGGACCTCTGGAGATCATCTCCTCCAACCCCCTGCCAAAGCAGGGCCACCCAGAGCAGGTCCCACAGGAACGTGTCCAGGCGGGGTTTGAATGTCTCCAGAGAAGGAGACTCCACCACCTCTCTGGGCAGCCTCTTCCAGGGCTCTGCCACCCTCCAAGTAAGAAGTTCCTCCTCATGTTTAGGTGGAACTTCTTACAGTCAGGTTTGTGCCCATTTCCTCTTGTTCTGTCCCTGGGCGTCACTGAAAAAAGGCTGGCCCCATCCTCCTGACAGCCAAAGTTAAGTGGTAATGTCTGCGTGTGTGTGGTTCATGCTTTTCAGAAGTCCAGTAACAGCTTTTCTGTGTCTGAACTTTTCTGTGTGGCGATCAGAGAAAGCTTTTGTCAGACACAACTACTGTTGCAATTAAGAGCTCGTCTGGATGCTCAGTATTGTCAAAGAACCTTGGTAAACTTAGGCACCCAGCACCTCTTGACACGCAACCAGATGAAGGCACCATGGATTTCTCTAAAGCCACGTGAAGTTCTGCGTAGTCAGTGCTGTGATCTACACCCCGACACTCTGTACTGCTATTTCGCTGGTACCTCTGCATCGACATGGCTGGTTTGGTTATTCTAGAAACTAGGAGGGGAGTTTACCTCTCTCGCACACCTGCAGCGAGCGCTCAGCTCACTGCCAACACAGAAATGCTGATTAATGTGACATGGGAGCGAGCACGGGGTCACTCTGCCATCTCATTTGGGTCAGGAAGAGATCATAGCTTAGTGGAGTAAACTGCCTGTCCTAGTGTATCTGTGTCAATCTTGAATGAAAAAAGCCTTTGTGAACGGAGATGACATCGAAATTTGTGAGGGATGGATTCATTCCCTATGCCCACAGATAAAGGTAGATCTGTGACCTTTTTATTTCTACCACCTCTGAATAAAAACAGGGGCTATGAACACTGCAGTCCTCTCTTTCCTCCCCTAAATTCACCTCTCAAATTCCAGTATAGGGATTAGAGAGTCTTCCTGCATGGTCCATTGCACAGTTCCTCCAACCAGCCTGCGAAATGACACATTGCTCCGACATAAAGTGGCGTGAAAGGGAGTCGTTCCTTGCTCCTGGGTGTCCAAGAGCCCTCTTTTTAATAGGTGGATGTGACAGGCAGCGCTGTCACGGAGTGGCACTTTGGTGCTTTGTATATTTAGATTGGCTGCTCACTCAGGGGACCACTAAAAGAGCGCTTCGCTGTAACTGATGATGCTTTAACTGGCTACCTATTTACCCTTTATGTGTTGTGCAGTGTTCACAAGCACCTCGATACGTCTAGAGGGAGTACTTTAAACATTCAGAGGAGCACACATAATATATTTTACGGACACTAAAATAGAAATAAGGACAAATAAGAACACAATCTAATAATTGTTCCCTTAAATAAGACCCTGAATAGGGAGAGATTCTTTTTTGCATGAACAAATGTTTATGTGTTATGAGAGTCGCTCTATGTGTGTGTGATTACCTCCCTAATGTCAAGCGCTTCCTCTCTCTTCCAGCATTTGTCCTCTGTTGGAGCCCTTACTTTCTTTTTGACATCCTGGACAACTTCAACATACTCCCTGAGACCAAAGAGCGCTTCTACGCATCCGTGATCATTCAGAACCTGCCAGCCCTGAACAGTGCCATCAACCCCCTCATCTACTGCCTCTTCAGCAACCGCCTCTGCCCCCCTTTCGAGTATCCCTCCTTTACTGTCACTTTGACTACCCTCTAAAAAGGGAGGGAACACGTCAACACAGTCTCTAAACCTATTTTCTTCCATTTTAATTCTGACCTTTCCTTGTTTTCTTTAGGGAAAGAAGAACTCGAAGGCTGGGGGGTACTTTCCGGGAGCGGAGCGATGGAGGGCAGGAGATGCAGGTCCTGTCCAAACCAGAATACATCTAGCACAGAAGATGCTCTGCAAAAGCTACACCAGGACCTGTACCGAGGGCAGCAGAGGTCCCCCATCGAGCCCCATGCACCACGAGTAGATGGACACTAACTGGAAAGAGCTCACACCTCACTGCTGCTGAGCAGCACACGTATTTTGGGCTGGCACTGCAGCTTCAGCGATCACACACTGCCGGTGCCAAACTCAGTATGAGGGGTTTGCATGCCAGAGTTGTGGGGGTTCATCTTGGCCTTCTGTTTTCAAGTAAGCTGTAATATAGATGTACTCCAAATGGCAAAAAACTGGTGTCTAGTCAGTCTTCTCTACTTTTCAGGAGTCACTGAAAGTCATCTACTGTACCATCTGGCTCATATAACTGATAAAGAATATTTTTGAGTAATTACAAAGCCACTTAACCCTACTTAAAATGAAAACATAGGTGCTTTTCCACGGAGAACTTGCCAATGTCACTCTATATATCTTGCTTTCATACACAACCACTTATGAAGTCGTAGCCAGAGAAGATGGGACTGAAGGGCTGGGTTACTGCCTCCCACATCTCCTGGCCCACTCAGCTCACACCAGTCCCCCCAGCCTCACTCTCCCTGCAGCTTGTCCTCCCCTTCCCTTGCAGTATTTCCCTACTTTGGTGCGTTGGTGGGACCCCAGGGTCCATGCAGGGGTCCCACACAACGCATCTGACAGTCATTTATTTCTCAGCTACGGTATTAACAAAGGGTTTGCCAACCCCTCTCAGGCTCTGTGGTGCATTACATGTGCAGATTGTCACGTGCTTCTGCGACAAAGGCCCTAAGCAGACTTTCGGGGAGCTACAGGGAGCTGCCATATGGGGCACATCATCAATGCAGATCAATCTCGCCGCCCACACTTGAGCATTTCATAGAATCATAGAATTATAGAATTTCCCAGGCCGGAAGGGACCTCCAAGGGTCATCTAGTCCGACCCCCCCGCAGTCAGCAGGGACACCCCCAACTAGACCAGGTTGCCCAGGGCCTCGTCGAGCCTCTCCTTGAATATCTCCAGGGATGGGGCCTCAACCACCTCCCTGGGCAACCTGTTCCAGTGCTCCACCCCCCTCACAGTAAAGAACCCCCTTCTAATCTCCAGTCTAAATCTGTTCCCCTCCAGCTTGAAGCCATTTCCCCTCGTCCTGTCACTACAGGCCCTGGCTTGTGCCCTGGGTAAGTCATCCTCGTCGCTCAAACCACTGCAGGGAACCGTACACATCTTCAGACAACCTCAAACCTGGAAAAGGACCCGAGTAAGACCATAAAACTCGAATTGCTTTTTATTAAAAATTACCTGTTGTCTTTCCAGTCTTGTAAACTCCTTGTAGGGTCCACAGACCCCTGGCTGCTGTCAGGCAGAGCTTTCCTGCACAGTGCCCCAAACAGTCGGGCATCCCCCCTTCCTCCATCCAGCCCCTGGAGCATCCTCCCACCACATTGTTCTCAAGTTTAAGGACAAACATTCTCACGCAGGTTCAGCAGGTGGGTGGATGATAATTCACTTCAGTGTTCATTTTACCGCAAGGCAGCTTTAAGTGGTTTTATGATAATACTACAACCAGCTGTATGGCAAGTGTGTTTGTCTCCTCTCGGCAAAAATTTTCATTCTTACTGAGTCAGATTAAAAAGGAGGTTTTTTTTATTATTATGATCCTTTACAATAAGTTTGTTCCCTTCAAAACCAGAACCGAATAAAATTTATTTATGATTACCTATATTACAAAAACACATAAGATTATGGGGCTTTATGTTCTCAGGAAAATAAATAAGGTTTTTCTTTTTATTACTTCTGTTACATCTAAATTTTCGTAACAGCTTAATTAAAACCATGAATCTGTGCCAGCCTTTACTGCCACTGCCTTGGAGAGATTGTATATAAGAACTAGACAACGTTTTATGTTGTGGGCATGAGATAACTTTCCCAAAAGTGGACTGCTCAGTTTAAGCCTCATCTTGATATAGATTTTGTGTTTTAACACTATCATCTGATACATATACACTACCTGCTTTGGAACAATTAATGGAGTTCACAGACTTAACACCTGGAAATCAGATACCATTTCTGAGCAATACTTTGATTTGCAAATTTAATGTGACTCAATCCCACTAAAATTTACATATCAATCACTGTGGTCACCACATGAATTATCCCACCTAAATTAAGCATATGCATGAGCAAATTTCGGACTCCAGCCTTAAAAGCAAGTCATTACTCATTTATTTTCAAAGAAACAGTCTTTTTAGTTCCATTCATTGTTGTCTTATGTACCATTTATGTGTTGTTCATACGCTTTTCCTCTAGGCATGACTGTGATGCCCTTCCTCATGTGAGGATCTTTCCGTTTAAATGGTCTCACACCACTTTTGTCTGCATCCCTTCCCAGCCCTTAAATACAGAAATAAATAATTTATCTCATTTTCTATCCTGTTTTCTAAGGCATTTTCCTACCTTTTATATTCTCCAAAGCTTTTCTTAGAAGAAAAGCTTCTCTTCTGAGAAGAGACCGACCCCCCTGGCTACACCCTCCTTTCAGGGAGTTGGAGAGAGCCAGAAGGGCTCCCCTCAGCCTCCTTTTCTCCAGGCTCAACCCCCCCAGCTCCCTCAGCCGCTCCTCACAAGACTTGTGCTCCAGACCCCTCACCAGCTCCCTTGCCCTTCTCTGGACCCGCTCCAGCCCCTCAAGGTCTTTTTTGTGGGAAGGGGCCCAAAACTGGACACAGCCCTCGAGGTGGGGCCTCCCCAGTGCCCAGTCCAGGGGGACCAGCACCTCCCGACTCCTACTCCCCACGCTGTTCCTGACACAGGCCAGGATGCTGGTGGCCTTCTTGGCCACCTGGGCACACTGCTGGCTCATCTTCAGCCCACAGGCCACCAACACCCCCAGGTCCTTTTCTGCCAGGCAGCTCCAGCCACTCTGCCCCCAGCCTGGAGCGCTGCAGGGGGTTGGTGGGACCCAAGGGCAGGACCCGGCACTTGCCCTTGGTGAACCTCATCCCATTGGCCTCAGCCCATCCATCCAGCCTCTCCAGATCCCTCTGCAAAGCCTTTCTACCTTCTTGTAAAGAAACAGAAAAAAAAAAAAAAAGAGTTTTTTCATTAGTCTGGAAAACATTTGGATTCACCTCCTTTGTCTCTTGGGAGAGAAATTTAGGGAATTTCACCTCACTCCAGTAGGTTTCTTATTACATGTCTGCAACTTGCTCTACATCTGTTGACTGTTTAAGTGACAGAGTTGTTGCAAAAGACCCCACACCCATGAGGAGTGGTAGCAAAAGTCAGTTTCGAGGTCCAAATGCCCAGAGAGAGTCTGAACACAAGAAGAAGAGGGCACCTTGCTGGTTTGTCCATGGCAGGCCATGAGGAGTTGTGTTTTTCATCAGCTGGAACAGTTCAAGATGCCTCTGTGAGGTCGTTCCAACATTCCCACATCAACCAGAGTCATGTATGCATGACTATTGGCACATAAAGTCCTGTATGATTATAGATTCCTAGGAGGCATGAAAAATCAGATACTCATCCCTCAGAGAAGTCACATCAAACAGCACAGGACTAGGATACTTTTCAAACTATTACATTAGTTCAAGAGAATAGAAAATGTGTGTTTTCTTTGACAGGTTCAAGTAAAATCCAAATGAGAAAGCTATTTAACTTGGTCTAGGGTATATTTTGATTTAATTTAAAGTTCAGTTCTTAGTCCAGATTTCTGCTGGTTGCTAAAAGTGCAAAGCAGTGTTCTTTCATCTTGGTTTTGTTTTTGAAATTTCTATCTTTTTTTTTTATTTATTTTTACTGTGCAAAAACTAATGCAAAGCAGCAAAATTTAACATCCAAATCACTGGGCAGGCATATTCTAATAATGGAGTGCAATATTCCACATTGCAACCATGGAAGAACAGCAAAGTAAAAGCCTACGTAGAAGCATTTTGCATTCTCCTGTGTGCTGCTGCCCAAGTGGTTAGAGGTGCAGCCATTATTAGCCAAAAAATAAAAAAATTTAAAAAATGTAAAAGGTAGCCACTGCTGGGTTGTTTGTAGGTTTGGGGCTTTTCTTGACAGTTACCTTTCATGGGAACATAGTTAGACCTTTTGATATGATACAGGATAATTTGTCTTCCACAGAACAATAGCAACAAAAAATTAATTCCTACACATCTCTAAGATTTGCAAGGCATGAATGAGTGAAGGTCCATACTCTATGAGCTACTTAGGCATATAAATATAAATTGTTTTAATCAGGCACCAAAAAAAAGTCATTAAAGAAGCAGATTTTTAGAGTACTGGCTACTACAAGCATCCATCTTCTACCGATGGCAGTCTCTAAAAATCATACATAAGTATTAGAAGTAAAAGCTACTCCAAGACTTACTTCAGTTCAAGCTCTGGCATTTGAATGCCAGAAAGCTTTGTGTCTATTAAGATTTCATGTTTTCTTGACACTACAAGATGCAGGAAATCAGGAAAATCCTCTCTCAAACCACAGGCCCCCATTCAAAACATAGGAACAAACGACTCAACAAAAAAAAAAAAAAAGAACATTTCAAAGTGACTTTGGCAGAGAATTTCTCAAGAGCTGAGGGCTTTAGGGTAACTCTGACCTGAGATAATTAAGAATAGTCTCTTGGCACCCTCTCTACAAGGAATACACTTGCTGGCAAGATGCCTGAAGTTACACGTCCCTTCAGAAAGCCCTGCCTCGCTGCCTGTGCAGATTTGTTTCAGACAAGAGCCCAGAAGGCATCACGCTCCCTGCCACTTCACCTTACCCCTCACAAGGACTGCACATACTCTTCAGAAATACTTCATGAAAACAGAGCAACTATAAAAGAAAGAAATTGCAGAAAGTGCAGCCAAAAAAAAAAAAAAAAAAAAGTATATAGACACCGTGGGCATAAGTGCCTTCTTTCAAGAGAGGAATCATCCCACAGATAAAAATAAACAAGTGCAGAATCTATCTGTCTACCTTCCGATTCAGAGCCCCGTGCTTACAGGAGCAGAGATTTTAGTTTATTCATCAACCTTGGAAACATGATTGATTGGGGGAGGAGATGTAATTTTTAGTGTAAGGTAAAATATGTTTCATTTTCTTTAGCAAACTGTAATTTATTTTATGCAGCGTTCAATTTAGATAAGCTTTATAGCTGAATGGTTCATCAGATAATCTTTTGTCAGGTTTGATGGCATCTTATTCTGAGCATGCATAAAATACAGGGGTAGAGGGTTAGGCATAAAAACACAGCCATGAATTTACAAATAGACATTGCTGATTCCTCAGACAGAGTTGGTTACAGTGGTGCATAATTAGAAGCTTAACTGTTAATTTAGACTCAAGCG